TGTCTTGTTTAAGGTCAAGGTTTTATATTTTGACACTTTTTTTCAGTTATGGAGTTTATTTTGTAACCTGACATTCTGATGCTGTATCTCTTGGCCTCTTTATTACAATATGCACCAAACCATTACTGAGCGTTACATACTGAAACTTTGTTGTGCTTATTTTACATTTCTGTCCTTTCTAGAGATAAAAATTACAGAAAGGCTGTTTATTTAAAGAAAACCAACTAATTTTATATAAAAAGTACATTTTAGTTTGGCTATAAGGTGACATTGGCTGCAAGGTGCAGAAAAAATTTCACTTTAAACACTTTAAATTTGACTGATGGAGGTGTAAGAACCTTTACAGTCGCTCTTAAGCTCCTGAAATGTGTTTCAGTGTCAGTTTGACTTCGTTGTGTTTGATGCTGCAGGCCAAGCAGTACAGGATGTTCCACGACGACAGTATGAGGTCGTTCTTTCGTCGTCTTTCGTTCACACCCGATGGGTCGTTCCTGCTTGCCCCGGGTACGCTCACTGCATGCACCAAAATTAGCTCGTATCCTGGTGAAATAGTTAAAATAAAGCCAGCTCTCTTATTCTCTTGTCGCCTCTTGGAACCATAGCTGGATGTGTGGAGGTTGGAGAAAACGTCATAAATACCACTTACATCTTTTCCAGGAAAAGTCTAAAGAGGTAGAGTTTGTGGTATTTATGTAGCTAAAGTTCTTACAAATCCCTGTAATTAAAGTAAACAAATAAATATATCTCCTTTTTATTAGACCCATCGCCCACTTGCCATGTCCATCTAAAGCCACTCTGGCTGTGCGCTGCTGCCCCGTCTACTTTGAACTCAGGACTAAAAAGGCTGAAGGTAAGAACAAACATCGGTGCTTATGGAGGCCGTCTGCGTTTTTATTTATTGTGTACATGCTGATGAAGCATTCACACTATTATGATCGGTTTTTCTTCCATACATTTTCCAGCATCTTTCTTGTTCCACAATTTTTGTGCTATTTCAACAAATGAATCAAAACGTTCAGCTCATTCAGGACAATCCTGCTCTGACTTTTGGTATTGGTGCAACTGTACCTTTTTGAAATATTTGGCCTTTTCTGACACTTTTTTTTTTTCCTCATTGAAAATGAACTGAGCTCATTTTACCTCCTTCAACTCTTTAGATGTGTTTACAACCTTTTACTGCTCCTTTCACATTTTGTTCTGGTTCAGCTTGTGCAAATTTAAGCTTTTTTCCAGCTAATTTCTGCTGTTTTTTCTGCTGTTTTGTGCACCTTTTAGAATTGTTCTGGTTACAACAACATTTTTGGGCTTCTTCGAACTTATTTCTGCTGATTTTAGCTTGTTATGCTTCTTTCAGCCTTTTCTGCTATGTCAGCTACTATTTAGCTATTTTAATGCTAATTGTATTATTATTTTTTTTTGTTAATTCCACATTTTTCACACATTTAAACTTTTTTCAACCTAATTCAGCAAAAATGTGCTCTCTCCACTTCTTTTTGGTAATTTAAGCTTCTTTTAGTTTTGCTCATTTCAGCTTTTTTCAGATAATTTCCACTTTTTAGTGCTAATTTCTGCTTCTTTCAGTCTAATTGGGTAAACACGTGTTCTTTCTGCTTTCTTCTGCTTATTTAAGCTTGTTCTACCGTTTCAGTTACCGGTACCTTGTTTTTTTTGTTTTTTTGTTGCATTTTAACATTTTCAGCTAATTTCAGCTGTTTTCAGATAAATAAAAATTGTTTTTGGTAATTTCTGCTAATTTCAGCTCCTTTCAGCTTTTTCTTCTATTTCAGCTACTTTTAAACTCTTTTGTGATGAATTTAACTTATTCAACATTCACTTTTTTTTTTTCTCTCATTTCAGTTCCTTCCACTTCTTCCTGGTAGTTTAAGCTTCTTTTTTCTCATTTTAGCTTTTTTTAGCTACCGGTAATTTTCCTAATTTTTGTGATAATTTCTGCTTATTTAATCTAATTTAGCAAATATGTGTTCTTTCTGCTTTTTTCTGCTTACTTAGGCTTGTTCTACATTTTCAGCTACATTTCAGCATGTTTTAAGCTAATCTGTTTTTCAGCCAGTTGGTCAGCAGTAAGCATTCACACTGCATTTTCACAGGAAATGAAATGTCTCTAGTTTTTGTTTTCTCATGTGTGCCTCTCCCTCCGCTTCTGCCTAACAGATGGTTCGACCCAGGCTCTTCCCAATTTGTTCCAGTTGCCGTACCGCATGGTGATTGCAGTGGCCTCTGAGGACTCCATCTTCTTGTATGATACGCAGCAGAGCCTTCCATTTGGCCTTGTGTCCAACATCCACTACCACACACTCAGCGATCTGACATGGTAAACCTCAAAATCCTCCATTGGCTTTTGTTTATTAGAGTCAACAGATAAAAAAATGAACATATGAATTGCTTCAAACTCAAGAGACTGCACCTCCTGAGTTGCTTATTAGACAACAGAAGAGTGAACAGACCTGGGCAGGACTTTATAATTTGTCTGTTTGTACACTTGTGTGCACAGTGCAGATGCCATATACTGTAGATGTCACTGATAATTGGAAACAGGCAACATTGATGTGGTTATATTCACCCGCTACAGTTCTGTTCTGGGCCGTGCACAATACAAACCACTTAAAGATATTTCTAATTTGGTTGTGTTCTGTAGAAGAGGGATGAGTCTTTTGGAGTTAACATCCAAGCTCCAGCTGTCAGAAAAATGGTCTCACTTTTGACTCTAGCATATTTTATTAAAGAGTTCAGTGAATACAAGTTCAGGCCATACACAGAACAACACC